CCCCCGAAGCGAGCAAAAATCTCCTTGAAGCAGACAGGTATGGTAGGTCACATCCTAAGCATCGCATGGCAACGTACGTCAGCAGCTGGCATGGCAACCTAACTAACCTTCACGGCCCTTCAGTGAAGGTCATCCCATCCACACACAGTGGCTGGCGTGCATCGCGTGTGTAGGACTCACTCCTCCGTGTGCTGATGTTGGCCCGCCGAACAGACACGCCCAGCAGCTCCTCCGGGTGAGTGTCTCCACTAAGATCAGCACAACGACGAAGGGATGAGCACACACTGACTGCATCATGACAGACAGACAGCTGGCTGGCCATCACATCAAGAGAGAGAAGAGAATGCCGTCCACCGGCCATCGGTATACCACCTACCCTATTAGCAGCTTCATAATCAACACACACAACAGCAAACTAAGTGAGTGGGTGACCTGTGAGTGGACGGACGTCACAGACAGACAGACAGACAGACAGACAAGGGAGAGGCGACAAAGAGCTGAGAGCTGAGAGGTGACAGGTGGGGGAGGAGCTACTGAGTGAGTGGGTCAGTGAGCAGGCAGAGAGAGAGATATATATATATATAGAAAATTGGCCCCTATACAGAGAAAATGAACAGCACCGACTAACACATCACAAGTAAATAAAAAGTTCGCCTATGCATCAATGCAGCACACACGCCAAACCTTACCCCGCGCCCCTATACACACGCCATGCCACATCACACCACACCACACCACACCACACAACACAACGACACGCCAGCAGCTACCACTCAGCAGACGGGGTCAGTCGGCACCGTTAGCACATCGTCCGACGCCCCCTCGTCCGTCTCATCAGAGGCAATGTACTCGTCGATGGCGTCGTCCAGCCCGCAGACGCTGCTAATGCCACACCCACAGCAGTCCAGCAGCCCCCACGTGCAGAAGTCAAAACACCCGGGGTCGCGACGGCGGCGCTTCTGCTTGGGTGGTGGCCTGGCCGTCTGCTGGCCGGCAGGGGTCGACCTGACACGCGCGCCGCCCCTGGGTGAGTCACCTGAGACGATGGTGCCTCTCCTGGCGCTTGGGAGGAGCCCCGAGAGATCGATGCCGTCTGCACCGCTCGGATGGCTGGCAATCCATCCTGATTGATGATCGTCACACACACACACACACAGAGGGAGGGAGGGAGGGAGGGAGAGAGTGGGTGGCCGTCGACTGCTGTGTGGACGGCTGGTGCTGCGCTATGCTGTGCTGTGCTGTGCTGACCTTTCTTGTGTTCTAGCATGTCGATGCTGTTGAGCACCAGGGACCCCCGTGCGTCGAGGTCGGCCTCCATCCGTGCCAGCACCCGAGACAGCGCCGGCGGGCCCCTCTCTGGGTCAGACACGCCCACGGGCGAGGGGTCATCCACCGCACCACCAGCACCACCACCAGCTGCTGCTGCAGGGAACACACTGCCCTCCAGCAGCCTCCCCATACCCATACCCACGCCCACACCCACACTAGTACCGCCAGCAGCCGCGCCGCCGCGATCAGCGGCAGAAGCACTCGCACTCTCACTCTCCCCTCCTCCCTGCTGCTGCTGCTGGTCCTGCTGTGAGTGTGGCTGCGAGGTGGCGGCGTCCTGCAGGGTGAAGGGCAGGTTGCCCCACGCGCCCTTGATGGACGCAAGGGCCCGCTGGAGGCCCCTCCTTGAGTACTCGGATGGCGAGAAGAGCTCAGTCCCCCTCTGTGGGTATTCGCTGGCACGTGCCGCCCCAGAGGGCACCGCTGGCAGCCGCTCCCAGTGGAGGAGGAAGGTCTTGGAGCGGGTGTCCCAGTAGAGCGACGCGCGTGTCTGCGCCTTCCGGAGGTCCGCCTGCAGGTCTGGGTCCCTCTGAGCCCTGGTGCACTCGTCCAGGAATAGCTGCTGCGCTAGGGCCGCCAGCTGGTTCTCTGCAGGGCCGATCACACAGACAGAAGAAGAAAACGCAAAATGACCCGCCATCCATCCATCCATCCATGCATGGTTTCTCCGCTTGCTGCCTGAGCTGAAGCTGGCTCACCGTCGTGTATCTCGATGTCGTCAGGGTGTGTCCGCCTAGGGTTCCCGCCCAGATGGGCCACGATCTTGGCGTGGTAGACGAGGGCGTCTGCCGAGACCGACCTGCGCCGGATGGACGCTGTGGGCGGGGAGGGGTGGTTTGACATGTCATCGAGCGACCGCCTGGGCAGCAGCAGGTGGCGCGTCGCCGCCAGGTGGGCACCGAGGAGGGACGTCGGTTGGCTGAAGTTGATGCACAGCGCACCGGGGCCCTCACGACCCACAGCCAAGTCTGCACCACACACACACACACACAAGGACACCCAGAGAGAGAGTGACCGCCTTTTGTGAGTCGGATTGAGAGTGTGCGTGCGTACCATCATGGACCGGGCTGTCATTTGCCGCATACTCCGAGGCGGCTTTGAGCTTTGCGCGGGGGGTGAACTCGGAGGCGCTGCGGTCGCGGCAGTCGTCGGTGCGCTTGCTCTTGGAGGAGCCGGGGCTGTCGGCCCTGTTGCGCAGCACCAGGCTCTCGTACCCCTCCACGTGGGGCCGCACCCTGATGTCATCGATGTCGTCATCTGCACACGCCAGCCAGACACAATACAACGCACAGAGAGAGTGAGTGAGGTGGGTAGATCAGCAGCAGTTGCTGGGTCTGGTCGACGCTGCTGACTGACCGTCGGGCTCCTCGGGTTCGTAAGAGTAGTCCGCCACGCGCTCCTTGGGCTGGCTCTCGTAGTGGGCTGAGAGGGTGTCGACGATCTGCCGACGCTGCGCCAGCACCTCCTCCAGCCGACGCCCGCGGGTCGACGTCGACATGGCCGGATCTTACAAAAGGCCACCGAAGCTGGCCGGTGTTATGTACGTATAGATCCTCCTCAGGGGCGGAAGCTACCCTTTCAAATCACCCACCGCCCGTCATCATCAGTGCTCACCCAAGCTCGCAAATCTTGAAACCACTGCTTGACCCCTCCGCCTCTGATTCTCTGCTTCCCCCTTTCTCCCTTCCACTAACCCTGCACCCACCCTGTGCCGCGTTGGCAGAGAAAGAGAGAGTCGCCAGCACAGTGACTGCCTGCCTGCATCTTCCTCCCGCACAAAAGATATCAACAAGGGCTGCCTGCAGTGGAGACTGAAGCCTCAGGCTTCGCGGGCGTCGGTCGCTGAGCCGCACACACAACCACCATCACACGCTGCCAGGGACGCTGACAGGTGACAGGGAGGGAGGGAGGGAGGGAGGGCCGGGCTGTCTGGCTTGCCTGTGTGTGCTCAGCAGTGCGTGTGTGTGTGTGTGTGTGTGTGTGCTGCTGCTGCTCTTGCTGGTGCAGCTTTGGGAGTGAGCAGTGTTGGGGTACGGTCGCCACCCTACCCCTGCCTAATAAGATGCCCGAGGGGTCCTTCCGAACTGGGCACACTCTCGTGGTCAGTCTCCTATGAACTCTGACGTACTCCAGCAGCAGCAGCAACAGCAGCAGCAGCAGGAATGCAATAAGACCACAGCCATGCAATGCTATAAGACGGTAAGTACGGCACACACACACACTCAGGAGGAGAAAGACACTCATGCACCCACCGGTGCCTGCCTGTCTGTGTGTGTGTGCAGAAGCTATGTCGGTTTCACCTGGAGAGTCGCTGCCTGAGGGGCGAGAACTGCACCTTCGCACACAACGCTGTGGTGAGCTCACTCTCTGACACACCAATGCACGAGTATGTATGCGTGTGTGTGTGTGTGTGTGTGCGCAGGAGCTGCGGGCTCCCCCAGATCTGTCAAGGGTGGGCACACACGCAACACGGCCCTCACCCATCCCTCTCTGTCTCACTCTCTGTGTGGCTGGTTGGTTGGCTCCGTCAGACCAAGATCTGCGGTTTGTGGGCGAAGGGCCGGTGCAACGACCCCTCGTGCAAGTTTGCCCACGGCCACCAGGAGCTCAAGTCGCCCGCCGCCTGCTACAAGACTTCCCTTTGCTTCCTCTGGCAGAAAGGTGAGCTCACTCACCTCCACACAGCGTGTGAGTCGGGTCGTGCTGATGTTTATGTGCGTGTGCGTGTGTGTATGTGTAGGCATGTGCAATGCCGGCGAGAGGTGCCGGTATGCCCACGGGGTTGAGGAGCTCCGGACCATCAAGTACGTGGGGCACTCGCGCCACTCACCCCACCAGCACATACGCAAACCCATTTCTGTCTGTCTGTCTGTCTGTCTGTCGTCTCCTATAGGCTGGCGGACATGGTGCAGTCGGGCCAGCTACGCGAGGAGGACCTGCAGCAGCTGACCCCATCCTACTACGACCTCTCGCAGCACAGCCCCCCCACCGCCATCCACACGCCCCCACCCCTCCCCCCAGCGACCAGGACCTTCCAGCAGCCGTCCCCATCGCCATCGCCCCCCTACGAGCTCAGCCCCCCGATGCACGGGCACACCTTCGCCGGCAGCTCTCCGGGGCGGAGGGAGAGGCACTCCACCACCACCACCCCCTCTCTCAACCCAGATGCGCTGCCGTACCACAGCGTGCACCAGCACCAGCAGCAGCAGCAGCAGTCGGCAGCCCACGAGAGGATGGCAATCGGGATGGTGGGGCTGGGAATGGGCCCATCGCCCTCCCCCCCGCCCCCAGCCCTGGCAGCACACCAGGACCCCACTCCTCCTCCATCCGCTGTTTCGATGTCGGCGGATGTGCTGAAGCTGGTGGACGGCTCGGGCGGCACGTGCACGCCCCCCCGCGCACCGGCCAGCAAGGCCAGCAGCCCCATGTCGCCCCCGTCCACTCGGCTACCGTCGGTGGACGCCGCCGTGGCGAGCCAGCTGAGCCACCACCCACACGCCTACGTCGGTGGTGCCGGTGGTGCGCCGTCCATGCCCACACTCAACGAGGAGGGGCTCTTTCAAGAGAGGGGCGACAGGGGCGACAGGGGCGGCCGCAGCAGCACCGGAGACCAGCCGGCACCGAACGGCCGGTACTCATTCTTCGAGCAGACAGTTGAGGAGGCGCGTGCAGCCACCGACCGGTATAGCGACCTCGGTCAGCTGCAGCAGCTGGGAGCGGCTGCATGTGGGTCGTTCGGCAAGCGGCCAGCCATGGGCCTGAGCAGCACCATGGCAAAGGCCCTCGGGCACCTGAGGGGGCCTGACCTGGATCTCGCCTCCTTCAACAACAACGGCCTTGCTGATGGGGACGGGAGGGAGAGCGACGGCAACAAGAGCGTGAGTGAAGACGAGCTGAGGCGACTGCGGGGTGTGAGCGGTGACGGGGTCGCCGGGGCGTCGTCAAAGGGCTCCCTCGGCGGCCACGAGCAGCTGGAGGACATGGCTGCGTCGTGTGGGGGTAAGGTCTTCCCGCCCAAGTCGTTCCCCAACGCCAACAACGGCTCGAGCACCTGCGAGTCGCTCCTGGGGTCGATGTCGAGCAACACGTCCAACCCTGGTAACGGCAGCAGCCTCACCGACTTCTTGTCCAGACATGGATCTGGCGACACAAGTAAGACAAGAGCGTCCCTCTGTCCGTGCATTCACTCATCGGCCACTCACTCTGTCTCTCCCTCCCTCCCTCCCTCCTGTGTGTGGTGTACTCTCTTGCCCTGCCAGGCACGATCCCGCCCCCTCCCTATAGCACGCTCACGTCGCCCCACAGCCCCTCCATCTGGGGCGGCACTCCATCCCAGAAGCCCGGCGGCCGGCTCCCCGCCCCCCTCTCCCCCCTACTCCCCTACCCACTCGACGCGAACACCGCCAAGTGGGGGCCGATCGGGCCCGCCCCACACGCACACCCAGGCCAGGAGAGGCAGAGGTCGCCACACGACGGCACGGACGAGGCGGGATGGGCGCATCATTACGGGTCGAGTGCGTTCGACGCGGACGATCTCGAGCTGGAGCTGCACCCGCCTTTGACGCCTTTCGAGGACGAGGGCAGCGTGACGATGTTCCGCAGCCCACGCGTACATGGTGTCCATGGGATTGGGGCCGGTGGGCGTGTTGGGGGCCTTGGCGGGGGAGGGGGCGCCTCGCCGCCGTGGGAGCCGATAAGGGACCTGTGAGTGGTGGTGGTGTTTTAAAGCCATCCGTGCTTGTTTGCTCGTGTGTGTGCATGCGGGGGGGG